AGGGGGGGGGGCGGGAGGGAAGGAGAAATCATCTGCAAGAGGAGCGCTGGAAAGACCTCTCGTCCGTCCTCCTACTTCCCTGAGAGAGCTTGGATGCTGGAAGAAGCCTCTTGGATATGGGATCATATCTGGTTTATCACAGCCTGGGTTTGATCCTCTGCTGCTCCGTGTTGAGTTCGGTCTACGCACTGGTGAGTCCCTCAATCCTTTTTTCTTTTTTTTTTTTTTTTTTAATAATTCCCCCCTTCTTTGCATTCTTGAACGATCCGGGCGGCTGTTTCCTTGATGAGTAATTTACTGTATCAAGGATTTCGAAGGCAGAATTTTTTTTTCTCCAGCCCAGTGGTTTATTTCGCTGGCAGATAGTGTGTGTGTATGTGTGTGTGTGTGTGTGTGTGTGTGCATGCTGTTGGTCTCAAGAGTTGCTGCACCACCAGATGAAATTAAAATGTCTGTGCTTCCCAAAGAGTTTGAATCACTTTTAAAACCCCCTCCGGACAGGAACGCGTGCAGTTTGACAGGGCTGTGGGGAATAATTTCAGAGACACCTCTGGGTAAAGGGCAACTTTTCTTTTTCTTCTTCTTTTTCCTTTTCTTCTTATTTTTCCTTTTTTTTTTTTTTCTTTTTAATCCACCCCCCCTCCTCCTTCCTTTTAATTTAATCTTCTTAATCTGCAAATCTGCTTAATCTCAGCGAAACTGCGCCTTCCTCTTTGGGATGAAATTTGGAGAGGACCTTAGAGTGCAGGGTTTGCAGACAGTTTACGCATGGAAGTAGTATTAACCCTTGGCTTCCTGGCGCTGTTTTCACCTGTTTCTCCACACACCCAGAGAAAATATCTTTCCAGAGGTAGCAGAAAGGGCTAAACTCTGTCAAAACTGCCTTGCTGGTGGTGCCGGGGAGTGGGCTAACACCTACAGACCCCAAGTGGTCTTCAGAGCCCTTCTGCAGAAGGGAAATGTCAGACAGAATCGGCCACCAGATATTATATATTTGACACGTGCTTTCTCCATCCCTGGAATCACCGTCACCGCTGGTCCCTGCTCCAAAATTCATCTCCACCTCCAAAATTGATGTCTGCTTTCCACGGGGAATGGAGATGCGTTGGGAAGGGAGTGAGGTACCCCTGACCCTGGCTCCAGCCAGGTCCTCCCTGACCTTTCAGGGACCATCACCCCGACCCCTGGGTTTTGTAGGGACTGATTGGGACCTTGTTGCAGGGCTGTTGGGGGGTATTTCCCTCCCACGTCCAGCGTCGTGCTGGAGGGAAACATCTCAATAAACGAGGAGAAACAGCCCCTTGGAAAAACCTTCATTCTTGCAATCCATCCCTGTCTTGGTCTAACTCTAAGAACAAATCAGCCTTTCAAAACCCAAAGAAAACTGGGCAAGCTGAGGGGACCACGTGTAGATTTGTTGAGGTTTTAGTGATGGTTGAGGTTTCTCCCCTGTTCTGGGGTTGGATTGGCATCTCCGTGACGGCGGGTGGCTTTGGGACCATATCGTGACAGGGCTCGGTAGGTCCTGTAGCACCTGCTGCCCCCCAGCTCCACAGCACCGCTGGGGTCAGCCCCAAAATTCCTGCTAGTTTTGGTGTCTCTGCTGGTAGCAGTGAAAATCAGGTTCTTGAAACAGTTAGTAGCTGCGGTTTGACAAACTTCAGGGTCCAGAAAAAACAAGCGAGGGCTGCAGAGTGTGTCTACAGTCCCGTTCCTGGTTGTTTGCCCTCTCCCAGTACATCCCAGTACCTCTCAAAAGTGCCGAGGGCCAGAGAGTGAACCAAGTGTCATCCCTCTCATGTTCCTACGGGGGTTTTATTTGTGATATCCCCATCAAAACAGACGTTTTCAGATCACAAACGATCTGCTGGGCAGCGCGGGTCGAGGACAGGGCTCCGGGCCGGAGCGGCCGAACGTGCCCCACGCACCCGCTTCAGGGTGAGCTGGATTTGGAAAAAATCAGGAATAGCTCTGCCAGAAGCACAGAGGGGCAAGAAATCAGGGCAGTTTGCTGCAAAGGGCTAGGGGAGGAACGTGCAAGAGCATTCACTGTTGCATTTCCAAAAGCTCGATCCCCTCCTGCCCCCATTTAGGGTCCTGCCGCTAAAGACCCCATTGGGTTTAATTAGGCCCAGGCTGAAACGCATGTTTCAGACACTTTGCTTGCTTTTCAAGCCAGCTATTGACAGCTGAGGGAGTTGCCAGAAGGTTTGAAAAGTCATCCTGACAATTCAGGGGCTGCAGAGACGTGGTGTGTCCCTTCTGGCATCCACTTAGGCCAAATAAGAAGGTCAGCCCCATGTCATCCCGCTGCGTGGCCGCTTGCGAGGCAGGGAACAACTTGCAGGGTGCCTAAAGCCTGATTTTTTTTTAGGCTGTTGTTGTTTCTTTCCTGAGCTAATTTGATTTTTATATGAGCTTAAAACCAGTGTGTGGTATCGACTGCATGTTTCAGCCCCGTGGCACCTGAATTGCTACACTATGAGATGGGTGGTATATATATATATTTGATATTGGATGAAGCAGTTCTGAGTGTGGTTCGTGAGCTGCCATCAGTAGAAGTCACCGAGTGCCTCTCTCCTAGAAGCCACAAGCCATGAGGGTGGCTGGAGAAGGATGGGGATGCAAGGACTTCATCTGGAGGCAGGCTCTCTGGCAGCCTTGGGTGAAACTCAAAGTGGTACCCGCTCTTTCACTGCCCCAGCAGAGCAAAGCAAAGCTCTGCTGTGGGCTCTGTTGAGTCAGGAGGGTTCCTGCAGACCGAGGCAGGTGATCTCTCCAAGCTTTGGGACACAGTTCATCCATCTGAAGGTGGAAGATTCAAATCTTGAGAGCCGTGGCCCTAATTGCTGGGCGCTTTGCAGCTGGAAGTTGGTGATGCTGAGATCAGGCAGAGCATGATCTGTCCTAAATCTGAGGCTGTCATTCCCTTTATTCCTTTTGGCAGCCAGCAAAGATGATAGTAAAGATATTTTTTGAAGCAAGAGTGCTGAAGTAGGGAAGGGAAACGGTTTCTTTGATCGTCTGTGTCACCGGTACATAACGGGGCAGGACGTTGGCAGCTGAAGTGCTTCTCTGCAACACACAGGCTGCGTGTCCCTGCATTAACTGATCACCAAGATGGGAAATTCAGCACCCGGAAAAATGCTCTGGGAGAGAGACCTTGCAGAGATAAAAGTGTCTGTGCAGAAATCATGTCCCCCCCATGAGCCTCCAACCACGTAAAGTCCATAGAGGTGCGAGCATCCCTGTCCCGAGATTTTGAGGGAGACAGAGGGGTGGATGTGGGTGAAGTACATTTTGATGTGTTTGATGTGGGGTAAAGTATTGGGTGAAGTTCTCCTCTCCTCCAGCTCCCCTGGCAGTCCAGAGAAATCCTCCCCCAGCATTTCCCTGGGAATATTGTGATTAACACCTGCCGAAACAGCGAGGGGAATTTCTCTTGTCGGTTGAGCTCTTTGAGCCTGAAATCTGGAGGGGACAGAGGGTAAATTGAGATTAATTCTGCTATTTGGTCCAAGGGTCGGGGAAGTAAAAGCCAGACAGCCCTGCAAACATGGGCTCGGAAAGAAGATGGGTATAAAAGGAGCTTTAAAAGTAGGGTCCGACATCAGCAGAGCACGGGAGAAGTTAAGATGCAGGCACTATGATTTTATCTGAAAGGTGTTACTGGAGTTCCTCATAGAAAAACTTGCCCATGTCCCACTCCCAGCTGAAAATTCCATGGTTTGCTCATGGTTTTCCCTTTATTTCCTTCACTTGCCAGTCTCAGCCTGGCAGCCCCCAACGCAGTTGTCACTGGAGGAGATATTCTGAATAATAATAATAATAATAATAATAATAATAATAATAATAATAGTACACCAGCCTTCTGCAGGGCTTTGGACCAGAATAGCTCTATTTTGGGATCGGGAGGGTCTTGCTTTTCAGCAGTGGTCAGTGCCACGCAGAAGGTGCTGCACATCAGGGGGGACACTTTTTGGCAGAAAATCAGTCTTGACCCCTTTCTGTTTTGTTGCAGCCAGAGGTTCCCCAGCCCTGGCCCCGCTCAGGCTGCTTGGACAATGCTGAAGCTTCCCTCTAGTTTTGCAGAGAAGCTGCAGCAGCCCCCTCCCAAAAATTCAAGGGGTATCCTAAGGGGATTGGAAACCCTTTCTTGGAGGCATAACCCAAAGCAGGGACAAGCTCAGCCAGGTCACCTGCAGAAAGGTCCCAGCCCCTATTCCCAAGGTGTCCACACCAGAATTGGTGTTAATTTCTGGAAGGAAGGTCCAGTATAAATCAGAAAGTTCCCACCAGAGTGAAGGGACAAGCTCAGCCAGGTCACCTGCAGAAAGGTCCCAGCCCCTATTCCCAAGGTGTCCACACCAGAATTGGTGTTAATTTCTGGAAGGAAGGTCCAGTATAAATCAGAAAGTTCCCACCAGAGTGATACTCAGGTCACCAACTTGCCAAGACTCTGGTCCTTGGACAACAAAACAGCTGGATTAAGGAGGTGCTGGCCAGTGTTTTGCTCTTTGACTTGTTTCTTCTTGCTCCTCTGATCAGACCCACATTTGCACAGATTGGGAAAGAATTGGAAGTTGAATAATTTATAGCTGGAAAGGAAAGGTAATAATATTCTGCCTCGGAATACAGCCAGCGATGGAAAAAAAAATCGTAGTAATAAAATAATCCTATATGGAGATCTCGCAAATCCCGACTAGCTGTCTAACTTCATTAAATAAAGACAGGCTGCAAGTGCAGGGAAACAATGTCTGAAATGTTCTTTTCTCCGCACACGCTTGGGAGCGTGCCCATCCCTGCCCCGTCTATTTATGAAAGATACGATTTTTTTGTTATTGTACTTCGGGATTAGCAGATATCCCTGGACTATAAAATACTCGACCGCAAAATATAAAGCAAACAAGCCTCCGCGTCAGGGTAATGCAGGGGCTGGGATTTCAGCCCGGGCAAGCCAAAAAAAAGTTCAGCTGCCAAAGCAAACAAGCCTCCGCGTCAGGGTAATGCAAGGGCTGGGATTTCAGCCCGGGCAAGCCAAAAAGAAGTTCAGCTGCCCGGTGGCGAGTCTGACCTGAGAGCAGACTGGGTTTGCTGGGAGCATGGGGAAGAGGAAAAGCAAGAGGGCAACTGTGCACACAGGGAGCAGGGGGGGGGGTTGGTCAAAGCTGGAGGAAATGAAATCCGAGGT